ACATATTTTTCCTATATTTTAACTTTTATAAAGTATTCGTAAATAACTTCAGTTGGGATGAGTACATACACCATTTTCAAGTTGCCAGTCAACTAGGGAAACATGCCTGTACGCCTCTGCCATTAGTCTTAAACTTGCTGCAGAAGACATGAGCCAGCACATCAAGAAACTTGAAGATTTGCCATGCTTTAGCCTCTAGCTTTGAGCTGTATGCTAAATCATTGATGTAGTGGCCAAGAGTAATCAATTTCAATTATATTTCTTTTTCCGAGGCAGATTGCTCTGAATATTTAGGTGTTTCTCTGCCAGATTTCGGTAATTGCAGCTCAGCAAAGCCTGTTATCCAGCAATCAATTTTAGTCTGTTGTGCTATAGCAGGGATAACTCTGAACCATGTAGAGTAGTGTGCCAAGAGGACAAGAGCTGAAAAACACTGCTCTAATCACAGGTTGTCAAAATCCATACTGTGCAGTCAAGTTCTGCTGATAAACTAAATATTTCAGTCAGGTGTGATTAAGCACAGCCATGTCTAGAAGTTGCAGACACTAGGCCTTGAGATTGCTTAAAGCTTTTAGATGTTTACATTGGCGATCAAAGTGCAGATTAAGATTTATTCACATTCTTCTATGTTAATGTAATAACCTACAAGTGTGCGTAAACTGTGCCGATTTATGTTTCAACCTGATGCTAGCAAATCCCAGCTCATAGCTAAAGTATAAAGGCTTAAGTACAAAGGCCCAAAGCTGATGGAAACAACGTTTAACCACGTTCAACAAGCAGTTTGAACTTTGCTGGAATTACCTGTAGACAGCACCAATGATAAATCAAGGGATTTGCAGACGCCAGTCTAGCCTCCACAAAGTTGTATCCAAGATAAATGCAGTTTCCAACTCCAGTCCTTAAGAGTCACTTTAATGCAGCTTGTAAAGACATCCCTGACCCAGCACACCTGTATCAGATGAATCGTTAACCAGACTCTAAAGGACCTCATGACCTGCTGTGGTGGTTATTCAGCCATTTGGCGAGTTGGAGCAGGAATGCATGTAAAATTTGCAAGACAGTGGCTTTGTCCGAATGTCCACCCTAACCAGTATATAGGGCACTGTATAGTGGTTACGCCATTTCAGATGAGTGTACGTCTAGTGGATGAAAAATTAGTGGACTCGAAATTTCCTTTGATGCACCTTACAAAGGTATTGATCATCCATGGTCACTAGATGAGCAGATGTTGTAAATCCCTTTATTGTTATTCGTTCTCTGCATTTTGTCCCATCCCCCTCGGAAGCAGTGGGCTGCCATTGTGTGGCGCCCGTGGAACAATCAGGGGTTAAGGGTTTTGCTCAGGAACCCAGAGTGCAGGCTGTGGGGATCGTACCGGGTACTTGAAACCTTCTCTTTCTCCAACACATTAGGCCAACACTTCCACTGTCGCTACACGACAGCCGCAACACATGACCAAGATGGCCCAGGCACCATGCGGGGAGGCAGAGTCACGTGACCAACAGGGAGCAAAAAGTAGTTATCATCTGTGCTAACTGTCAGTTAACTGAGTTCACTATAAAGTCCACTATATAGTCCCCGCTCTATATAGTGATTGTGGGATTTAGGGGTTTGGACGGATGCTCGGACACAGCCAATGTCTCACAGAATTAAGTTTAGGACTCTTGTAGGCCTAAACTTCGGAAACTAGATCTGATCTATGCCTAAATCAGACTGAGGACTTCTTAGTATAGTGAATTCTGTTGTCCTTTTGGTCAAACTATACTCTAAACCGGGGTTCCTCAGTTTCAGTCCTTGACGTTCTATGTCTTGCATCTTTTAAATGTGTCTCTATCAAAAGGCGGAATTACCTCCTTAGTATACTGTTGATTTCTCCAGATACCTGCCAATGACTTAGGTGTATTGAAGCATAGGCAGACCTAAAAGGTGCAGGACAAGGATTGCATCCTCAATAAAGATAAACATTACATTTTATGGGGAACATAATGACTTTGCAATAATATAACTTGTGACACAGTTTGAAATCTATTATCCAGCTACTGTTTTAAATGTTCTAATGAACAGACTTTTATTGAGAGAAGATACAGTAGATGCTTGCCATGTTCTTTCCAGCATTTTCTCTAAAAATAAGCAGCGAAGCACACAAGCCTGAAAATTGGGGGATTTTGATGACAAGCTACTGCTTTCCACGAAACTAGCTTGAAGCTATCTGCTAAAGTCATTGACTTAGAGGCTGCAGTCATTGATAGGGCCGTTGTGAAATGACTTATCTTAAGTTGTGCATGCCAGAAAACAGCTGCGCTTTTAATAATCATTCCTTGTTTTACTTGTGGGGATTGATTCAGCTAGTATCCTTCTTGTAAAGTCGTTCGCTTGAGAAAGGTCGTTAATACAACTTTTCTGGTTTATAATGATGATATAATTACTGGAAAACATTACGGATTTAAAGAAAAGATAAATTTTAGTGGTTATGAATAGAAATATAAAATATAAATCTGGATTAAAAATTGATTAAACCAAAATAAACTTACAATAAGTAGCTGGGATAATTTCCACCATGAAAATAAATCAAATTTGTTAAAATAAATGAACCACCAGAAAAGGTAAGTAATCAAATAAAAAGATGTGGTTATATGTCAGATCTGCGCTACAGATGGATGGCTGAGAAAAATATCACCAGTAGGCACTAAATCATCCGTGTAATACATTAGTCTTTAAAATGTTTTTTTTTTTTCACTTCTAGTCAAAACTAGTAAATGTCATATGGACCTAATTTGTTTTGCTTGGTGTAAATATTTCTACTGAAGGATCTTAAATGGCTGCAGGGTAATAAATCTGTGTGAAGCATGAAATGGTTCTTCTGCATATATATATATATATATATATATATATATATATATATATATATATATATATATATATATATATATATATATATATATATATATATATATATATCTCCAAAATTACAATATGTGAATAAGGAGGTAGAGAGTTAATTTTTCTTGACATTGATTTTATTTACATAATTTGCCCTCCAATTTTAAAACTTTACTAAGAAAATTAGTTTATTTCCTGAAAATATAAGGCTTAAAGCATGAAGGTGTTTAATCAAAAGTGTAAATCTGCAAGTTTGCTGTGAGTCTGGGTGATCTCCCCTGTGAGCACTGGTTTCCTCCCACAAACCAGACATGTCAGACTGAACTCTGTACACTGAATGTGTTTACTGTCTTTATATATAGATGCATATAATATCCAGGGAGTTCCCAGAGTTTTGGCCTCTGTTCATTTGAAATAAATTGGAAAATACATTGGGAACACTTTAATCATGTATGGAAATACATTTTATTACCAAGCAGTATATAGTAATGTTGGTTAAAAATTACTTTGTCCTTTTACTCCTGTTTTAAAACACTTTTAATCAAAGTTAAAATTGCAGGGAACTGAGAGTCCTAACAATTACTGCAGTTTTATTCGGATCCCATTGTGAAGCACTTTTGTATGTGGGGAACTGATTCCATTGTGTAATTCTTTGGAAGAAGATCCTGATCCATATTTACCCTGACAGTACTACAGTTTCTGTGCTGTGAAAAAACATCTGTAATATGACTTATTGCTTCCAGATGGCAGGGAACCAGCCGTTTGTTCATAGAAAGGATGTGATAAAAAAAAGGGAGTAATATGGAGAACACTGACATACGCATAAGGATGAAATGTGTGGAAAGGGGAACTATTTAGTTTATCTATGTATCTAGACATCATCTGGTTAGGCCCCTTGTTTAACAGAAACATCTCTTTTTTTGTCTAATTTCTCAAACATTTCAGTGATTATAGCCTTAGTGTCTATAATTCGCACAGATACACAGGCTACAAATATACATTCTTATTACGTATAAAAAATCTTTTGGGATCTATTTGACAGGAAGTTTGATCATTTTCCTTTAAAAAAAAAGAAAAGAAGAATATGCTTTAGTTTTTTCCCTCTGGACACCTTCATTTTAATCATAGCTAAAAACTTTTCAATAAACAGAAGATTAGGTCCGCGGGGATGTTATATATTACAAGTTTATAGAATTATTCATCTTTTGTTAATAAAACTTTGTGTTAAAATACCAACCATCTCATAAAACCTCTCACCTTCGGGTGAAAGTAATATAAACCCAAGAATCTGCTGCCGTACAGAGTGAACTAACCTTTGTAATTGATTACTGTGTTTCAAATCATTAAAAAAAAACGCTTCCAAACTGACAGCTCAGACCTTCATTAAATTTGTAGCCCAGTGAGATTAAGCCTTAGCCTCAGGGGAAAGGTTTGCAGTCAAACAAGAAAAATTTTGGTGGAATTTCAAGAAATATGCTTCTAGTGGTAAATATGGGGATTTTGATAACATAATAATAAAGATGTAGAAGCTTTCTGGCATAGAAGTGGTAGAATGATCATGTGGGTCTGATTTAGGGCCTGTGGTATTGGTCCATCATAAACACCACCATCCAAATGCTGGTTTTGCCTCTCTATGTTTACACATGAAACGTATATTTTCTGAATGAATAAAGATTTAGCTCCTGCAGCCTACTGGTTATTTTCGCCGCCACGTTGATGTGTTTACCTTGCATACATTGACAGTTAATTACACTGTTTTTTGTTTTTGTAGACTTTTAACTCTGGCAGAGTCACAGCGCCTCCAATGGCCCCGGCATAGGCACTTTTTTCCAAGCAGTTTTTGTCAAAGATACAGTTTTTCTCTCCATATAAACAGGAGCTAAATCTTCCTATGAGACAGCTATACAAATATTATCAACAGTACACATTTGAGCTTGTATTTTGTAGTTTCTACTTGGTTTCGAAAGTGTAAGATAAATTTCACATTCAAATCTTTGCAACCAATTCCTGTTATAAAATGTTATATACTATGTATAATGCATAAATGATCCATTGTTGATTGGATATAAATGAGTTAATACTGTGAATTCAGAAAGTTTCAGTCATAAACAAAAATGCTACTTTTCTTTTATTAGTACTTTTATTTTATTTAGGACACCTTAGCTGGAGCCCCTGCTCCTGGAAAAAAGAGAAAAACCTTTCCTGCTGATATATTAAGTCTGAGCTAAGGTAAGTGCCTTGTGCCTTTAAGCATTGAGAGGTTTTTATACATTTATATACAGCGTCTATACATACAACATTCACACCAACAGGGGTGCTGGGTGCACCCTCCAATTTTCATGACTGTTAAAGAGAGGAAGAACAAGTAAAAAAAGAGAGAAATACATGAGCCCATAAACAAGTAAATTCAAAAGCACTTGGTTCTATTGGAAAGGTAAAAAAAAGAAATAAAGATCATGCATATAATCTTTGGACATGACTTCTTTTCAAAACATATTATTTATTCTAAAATGTTTAGTCTCTTCTCACCTTGTGTGGAGGGAAGCACTAGGAAGAGAAACAGAAGATAGAATATGATGAAGAAAATTTGAAAACTAAAACAGCTTTGCTTTAAGCAAAAGAAATCACAATATGGAACGAGACATTTTTGCTTTTATCTCTATTTAAAGAAAATACAATACAAATAGAAACTTGAGTTCTGTGCAGTTTGTTTGATGTTACAATCCTAAAGCCATTCCTATTACACAGGACATATCTACTACACAGCAGAAAATCAATTGTTAATGTAGTTTAAAACACAGGTTACTCTTGCTGCCTGCTCTGCAGGCCAGCTCTAGTACGATGTATAAAAGTTGAAAGATTTGACCTTTGTGGGATTTGTAACATTACTCCACTGAGTGAGGCGTCTTTTTGGTTTGGGTTCATCTCCATGTTGATTCACTGATTTTATTAACATTATATATGTTATGCAAATGAATGTGTTAAAGCATGTATGTAAAAACATAAAAAAAAAAAGAAATGCATCACTTAACTGGTACCATGAAGGATATGTTGTGTGTGAGTGCCACCGTAATGTGCTGCTGTTTACTATAAGTTGTGTGTATAACCGCCGGACAAACCTGGAAGCTAAATAGCGATAGTGTAATGTTGTGATTCCGGGACATATTGGCTAGAATATTGAAAGAAGTGTGGAAACTGATACCATCATCGTTTGTACAGGGGCAGAGTTGGACATCAGAAGTGGTGGAAATCAGTGTTGTGGGGTTATGATCTAACACACACTTACAAAACGTTCATGCTCTCATCTATAAACACATTCTTTCCCGCGGACGAGCTGGGCTCTACTTCTTCCTATAGTTTCCGAGCTGGACAGCAGAGCGCTCATTGACGCAGCGGAAGGTGACCGGCTGAACTTCCCAATAAGGTACAGGGTTGCTGAACAGGCTGATCCCGGCGTACATGGCCTTCTTGGTGTTGAAGCCAGGAGGGCAGAAGTCATCTGTTCCCACAGCAGCAATCTTATTGGCATGGAGATAGACCACCTGGAGAAGGGATTGAAATAATTACAACATGTGGTTTGTAAATGAGACGGGTCCAGCTATTATTTAGGTTTCTGATGTAAAAAATTAAAAATAATGACATGTCTCAAAACGAGGTAAGGTAAACATTCCTAATCCTCCACCTATACTAATCATACATTCCTGGGGCTCCATGAAGTACTTAATGGACGAGAAGACGAGCAGTATCCACAGAGGGATCCGTCAGTTAACTATTCTGCCCATGTGGTTCTCAAATTATATAATCTTGTGTGGACCAAGTCTAGATTGTGAGAGAGGGTTGCAAGAGCTCCCAAGAAGGCTCTTGCTACCATTGAAATTAAAGCATGCTTGCGCAGTATAATGAGAAAGAGACTGCACAAGTTTAACTTCCAGCAGAGATGGCAAAAGTACTCACTTTCCATACTTGAGTAAAAGTACAGATACTTGTGTTAAAAAATACTCTGGTAAAAGTGGAAGTACTGATTAAACTTCTTTACTCAAGTAAAAGTAACAAAGTACAGGCTTGTAAATTTACTTCAAGTATAAAAGTAAAAGTAGAAACCACTTTTTTCATGCCGTTGCCTACATTTTAAATGGATGTCTGCCAATAGGACTAGATCTCCGTTGTGTTCATTTTCAATCATCTCGTTGTCCATGCTACTATGCTAACGCCACCGCCACCAAGCTGCAATGATTTGCCGCCAATGAATACCGCCGAATCTGTCGATTCATCTTGTAGTGGTGCCTCAAATGCAACGTAGATTCCCATCCAATTAGATTGAATTTGGTACTGATGACGTGAAAAATAATAACGGTAACTCCATTGAAATGATTCAAAACTAAAGTAACAAGCCAATCTTATTAAAATGTAAGGAGTAGAAAGTACAGATATTTGTGTAAAAATGTAAGGAGTAGAAGTAAAAAGTCGCCGTAAAAATAAGTAGTAAAGTAAAGTAAAAATATCAGAAAAATCTACTTGAGTACAGTAACGAAGTATTTGTACTTCGTTACTTCCCATCTCTGACTTCCAGGCTCCATAAGAAAACACAAATCGAGAGTATGCAGACAAAGAATATTATTTCTGATAGGATATTTTTTGGATAAATGAGTCTAACCTTTAAATACCTTTAAACCATAACTAAGGACCTAAACCAGATGTGACATTGCTGGAAAATAGTTTTTCTATTCACTGTATAGCCTAAAGGCTGGTTTATACTTCGAAACTAGGTCGTCAGCGTAGGTGTAGCAGTGAACTCAAAAACGTTCCCACTCCCTCGGCAAACACTCTGCTGCACCTCTCCCAAATTGTAGGTGACCGCAGACATAAGGCATCTGATTGGTCAAATCTACATCTGCTCTACTCATGCATATTTCCTGTTTGGTACCTTGCTGGCTTCTGAAGTGGGACCACATAGAAGAGCGAGGTGCACGATTATGCCACCTGGATCCCAGCCTTTTTTCGCCCTCATTGTCCCTCCGTTTTTGCAGAAACTTGCCCCCACTTCCTCACCGCCTCGGCCGTATCTAGACCCAAACTAGTTTGTGATTGTCTCTCTTGCGTTTTGGCGTAGAATAACATTGCGCTGACCACGCTTCAAAATTGAGCATAAATTTAAATATAAATAAATCTGCATCCTACCTGCGACTACCTCACTGTGACACACTGCTGCGGGAGTATAACCAGTCCTTAAGGCTGGAAGTATTATGGTTTGGGGAACTTCTTTTGAACTGACCACCTGTCTCTTAGATACACTATATTGCCAAAAGTATTTGCTCACCCATCCAAATTATTGGAATCAGGTGTTCCAATCACTTCCATGGCCACAGGTGTATAAATTCAAGCACCTAGGCATGCAGACTGTTTTTACAAACATTTGTGAAAGAATGGGTCGCTCTCAGGAGCTCAGTGAATTCCAGCGTGGAACTGTGATAGGATGCCACCTGTGCAACAAATCCAGTCGTGAAATTTCCTCGCTCCTAAATATTCCACAGTCAACTGTCAGCTGTATTATAAGAAAATGGAAGTGTTTGGGAACGACAGCAACTCAGCCACGAAGTGGTAGGCCACGTAAACTGACGGAGCGGGGTCAGCGGATGCTGACGCGCATAGTGCGAAGAGGTCGCCAACTTTCTGCAGAGTCAATCACTACAGACCTCCAAACTTCATGTGGCCTTCAGATTAGCTCAAGAACAGTGCGCAGAGAGCTTCATGGAATGGGTTTCCATGTTCGAGCAGCTGCATCCAAGCCATACATCACCAAGTGCAATGCAAAGCGTCGGATGCGGTGGTGTAAAGCACGCCGCCACTGGACTCTAGAGCAGTGGAGACGCGTTCTCTGGAGTGACGAATCGCGCTTCTCCATCTGGCAATCTGATGGACGGGTCTGGGTTTGGCGGTTGCCAGGAGAACGGTACTTGTCTGACTGCATTGTGCCAAGTGTAAAGTTTGGTGGAGGGGGGATTATGGTGTGGGGTTGTTTTTCAGGAGCTGGGCTTGGCCCCTTAGTTCCAGTGAAAGGAACTCTGAATGCTTCAGCATACCAAGACATTTTGGACAATTCCATGCTCCCAACTTTGTGGGAACAGTTTGGAGCTGGCCCCTTCCTCTTCCAACATGACTGTGCACCAGTGCACAAAGCAAGGTCCATAAAGACATGGATGACAGAGTCTGGTGTGGATGAACTTGACTGGCCTGCACAGAGTCCTGACCTCAACCCGATAGAACACCTTTGGGATGAATTAGAGCGGAGACTGAGAGCCAGGCCTTCTCGTCCAACATCAGTGTGCGACCTCACAAATGCGCTTCTGGAAGAATGGTCAAAAATTCCCATAAACACACTCCTAAACCTTGTGGACAGCCTTCCCAGAAGAGTTGAAGCTGTTCTAGCTGCAAAGGGTGGACCGACGTCATATTGAACCCTATGGATTAGGAACGGGATGTCACTTAAGCTCATATGTGAGTCAAGGCAGGTGAGCAAATACTTTTGGCAATATAGTGTACTTTACCATCAATTCTGATGGCTATCAGATATCGCCTTGTAGTGTTTTTCTGCAATTCAAATGCTCTTTAAAAAATATATGAAAAAAACATAAAAAAAGTAAGAAATCAATAAGTGTGTTTCATTTAAAAAAACAGAATATTTAATGAAGGTTCTATTTGTTCATGAGAGAATTTAACTGCACTTTGGTCTATTAATACAGTATACTCTCAAGGGAGCACTTTGTCTGACGAAAAACTTATTTAGGTGTTTATAACTCCCGACATTTCCCAAACCAGTGTGTACCTGGATGTATTTGTGGTCAGGCAGGCCAGGGGGAACACTGGTCAGAGCATTATTGTCAAGGTGCAGCTCTCTCAGATGTGGTACATTAGCTAGAGTGCCGTTTTCCACAGAGCTGATCTCATTGTAGCTCAGACCGAGCCTGAAAGAAAAATAAGCAAAGAGGTGAGTCATGTCTGGAAGAACACAAGACAAGGGAACACATCCTGCAAAATTGGCTAAATAAAGCAAAATTGGAAAATTGTGAGCTTCTGGCTGCAAAAATCGAAGTTAGACAATACAGACAGAAAAAGCTGCTGTAGGGAAATCTTCTTTATCATTCACATGCTGCTTTAAATCATCTCTCACTTTTTAGCATCACTCGAGTGATGCAAGAAAGTGTATAAGCAAGCAAGACTTTATGCATTAGTCCTTCCAAAAACTACTGTCCCATTAATACAACGATCTGCTACATCTGGCTAGTTCACAGCGAGTCTGCAAAGAAGGCTGTAAAGAGAAGCATAATTCTTATTACTTGGCCAGATGCTTCAGGCCTTTCAGGCTGCTGGATGTCACCTTGGTGATCTTGTTTCCATCCAAGTGAAGCTCAGACAGAGAGCTAGGCAGACCTGCCAACCCACGGAAGAAAGGATTACCATCAAACAAGGGTTGAGGACTTCAAGCATCATAATGTAACTGTTCAATCTGATCACTTGTTATGGACTCCGTTCACAGCACATTCCCACTAAAAGAGCTTTGTGGTTTTCATCAAAAGAAAGAAACTAAATACATGAACATTTTTTTATGAATTTTATGCAACTACGATAAATAAATCAACTGCGAGTGCGTCTCTGAACGCTTCATGTCTGTCCTGGAAGTGATTTTCAAAATTAGTGAATCTAAGCCGCACATATTTGTGTTTCTCGGAAATTGTGTTTTTAATCCTTCACAGCTGGATTAAACTTGAAGTATTGGAGTAAAGATGAAATGTGTTGTTTGAAGTACAAGGTACATTAACCCATCGAAGTATTTTTTCCATACAAAGCCAATTGGTCTGGAACTTTACTTTAGAAACTGGTTCAGTTTGAAAATCGGGTTTGAAGCCTTTAATGACTCTGTTCTTAGTCAGCATAAATTCTGGACCTGGCAACAAATTCTGTCAGCTTGAAAACATCACAAATCATCTTGTTTGTTTGCCTGCTTAACTTTCTTGAACTGAGCTTATCCAAATATCTTGTTCAAAAGAAAAATGTATAATAAGTTGCAATATATCATATTAAAAAAGAAGAATTTTAGTACAACTATTATTATTATTTTTGTTATAGTATTTACATTATCTGCATCCCATATTTATTTTCCAGGTTTTGAAACAACATTAAGCAAAAGATTTCAAGAAAACGGAATGTTACTTGTTATCAGTATCTGGCCCATGGCTTAGCAAATACCTCCCTGTTTGTTGCTTAACAAAATTTCTCTTTTGATATAATCTATGAAACAGAGATCCTTTCACACGAGATGATAATGTCATTTGCAATAATCCCGAGATCCATTTCATTTGGATCTTTCCATTAACCTTAAAGCATTTGCCTTTCTATCTTCTTGTTATTAAATAAAGCAAGATGAGGATCATTACCTTTGGGAATCTCTGTGATGTTAGTATCTGCAATTCGAATGTAAGAGACCCTTTTCAGGTCAGAGAAAGCTCCAGCCTCCACTCCTGCGCTCTTCAAAGGGTTAGACCCAAGTTCTGAAATATCGAGGATCAATGTATTAACAAGGTATTCTGTCATCCTTTTATATTTCTGTAAACATAAAAGGTCACTCAAATTTTTCATGTTTTAATGAGAAGCTTGCTTCACCAAGACATATATATTTTGAGCCGTTAGCTTTCTATTTTCAGCAGTACTGAAAACTGCAACATGCTGCAGGCACATATGATTTAAATGATAATAATTCAATATCATTTCAATTCATACCCATCACAATGACTTGCGACATGCCCTGGAAGGAGGACTTTTTTATCTTGGTGATCTCATTCTCGTGGATGCGGAGCTCCTGCAGGCTCTTGGGCATATTAGCTGGCATTTCCTTTAGCATGTTCTTGGACAGGTAGAGGCGCTGCAGCTTGGTCAGAGGGCTGAAAGCTTTAGGGTGGATAGTGGTGATCTTGTTGTTCACAAGGAACAGAGCCTATGTGTAGAAATAGCAGGAAAATCAATTAGTAGAATTCATACAAAATTACAATTTACAGAAATATACTGTTACCAAAGTGGATCAAAACAAACAAAAGGTCAGGTGGAGTAGAATGAAAAGACCTTTAAAAATAAAAACTGTAGAAAAATGTATTAATTTGTGTTTTTTAACTTCTTAACAAGTTGTTATTTATACAGAAATTCTCCAATACAAGTAAGAGGGAGTAGTGTTAGGTATAATTTTCTTTCTGGTTAAAGGAACAGAAATTTTACAACTTGCAACAAATAGAGGGACAGGAGTTAGAAAATATAATCTATAGGTTCATCAAGTAAACTGTTTCCTTTGAGATGTAATAGTAATATTATAGATATATGTAATCTGATTGGCTTAAATCAGAAAGGAAAGTTTCTGACCTGCTTCAAAAAGTAGCCAGATGATATGCTGATCTCAGGGCTATTTTCTTTTAAATCTTTGATTGATTGACTATTGATCTCACAGAAACTCACTGAATGGCTAACCGAAGGGCATACAATCCTGATCCTGAAGGACCCCTCAAAGGCTACAGTCCCATCCAACTATCGGCCCATAATCTGCCTCTCCACAATGTGCAAGCTCATGCCCGGGATAATATCGGCTAAGATAAGGGGCACATGGATCAATACGTGAGTGCAGCTCAGAAGGGAATTGCCAAAAGTACCAGAGGAACCAAACACCAACTCCTTGTAGACAGAACAGTCGCTCAAGACTGCAGAACCCGAAACACTAACCTAAGCACTGCCTCCTAACCATGCACAGAGGGTATCACCCCAAATCCAGTACCCTGAGACTGTACGCCAGCCGCAAGGAGGGAGGTTGAGGACTAATGAGCGTAAGAGCCACTATCCAGGATGAAACATCCGAGATCCATAAGTACATCAAGGACAAGGCTCCAACAGACAAGGCTCCAACATCCTCACTGAATGTCTCAGACAATGGGGAACAGGAGTTGAGGTGCAAGAGACTCCGTTATTGGAGGACAAGCCCCTACACGGGATGTACCACGAAACATAATCGAAGTGGCAGATATCAGGAAATCCTACCAACGTCTAGACAAAACTGGACTGAAGGACAGCATAGAGACACTCATCATGGCTGTACAGGAGCAGGCCCTAAGCATCAGAGCAATAGAGGCCCAGATCTACCACACGAGACAAGACCCCAGGTGCAGACTGTGCAAAGAGGCCCCTGAGACAATCCAGAACATAACTGCAGGGTGGAAGATGCTGGAAGGGAAAGCTCACATGGAGCGCCATAACCAAGTGGCTGGAATAGTAAACAGGAACACCTGTGCAGTGTATGGGCTGGAAACCCCAATGACAAAGACATCTCCAAAAGTGGTAGAGAATGATCAAGCCAAGATCCTGTGGGACTTCCAGATACAGATGGACCGAATGGTAACAACAAACCAACCGGACATTGTGGTGGTGGACAAAAAGCAGAGGAAAGCCGTTGTGGTTGACATAGCAATACCAAGTGACCACAACATCAGGAAAAAAGAACATGACCTGGAATGTCAAGGCATCAGTGGTACTCGTGGACATTGGGGCACTGACCCCCAAACTTGAAGAGTGGTTACAGCAGATCCCTGGAAATACACGAAGAGTGCAGTTCTAGGAACAGCAAAGATACTGCGGAGAACCCTCAAGCTCCCAGGCCTCTGGTAGAGGACCCGAGCTTGGAGGAAAAAGGGGGGAAGACCACCTGAATCTGAATCCAGAGTGCAGCCCAATACAGAAATGATCTTTCTACGTTTGTTTTTTGTTGAGTCGCAGTAATTATGCAGGACAGAAGATCGACAGAACCTGATCACAAGAAATCAGGGGTGTTTGGTTGTCAAATTCCTCCTATGCAACCAGGTGCCCATTCATTAAAAGCACCCAATGCCAGGGCAAGGCAGTGTAATCGCTTTAACAGCTGAGGGCTATGTGAGAACTTTAAAGGTTCTGTCAGAAGCCTGGCAGCAGCATTCTGAACAACCTGCACCCATAGATGTGATATTCAGATTATTATTGATCAAACTGAAACCTTGACTTTCACTCTTATATAAATCATTTGACCCCATTTGGATAAAATAATGGATATATTGGTATTTGTGGTCCTCTTGTGTTGGCTGAAGAAAATCAGCAGTTTAACTGTAGATCACATTTTACACCCAAAAAGGTAAAAGTAGCAGCTTTTTACAGTAACAAAAATGCTTTAAGTAATGATAGATATGAAATTAAAAAAGTGAACTGAAACTGAATCTCCATTCATTGTTCTTGTTTTAGTGCAAGGTAATGCTATATCAGCAGCAGCAAAGCCAGCCACTACAGGAAGTTAGAAAGGACTTTAAAATTGCCACATAACTTGGCTATAGAGGTTTCCATATTTTCTGCTATTCATTTTTGTTTAATATAAAGGCAAATGTTTACATAGGCATCTATTACAGTGAGTGTGATCAGTGGTCTTACGAATATGAGCCACTAAAGCTGGAGTTATGAAGAACATTTCAATTTTCAATTTTGTATTTATCAACAATCATATTCTAAAATTCTTCACTGACGATAATTAAGTATGGTAATTAGCCCTGATCCAGTTTAAATGAGACAAAGCATAGCCAGCCAAAACCATGATGACTTACTCTGAGTTTGTGCATGGCAGACATTTAGTTTTGTTATTTCTTCAAACAGTTCTTATGAGATCAAATTATGTTTGCAGATAAAAAGTATGCAGTGTTCTGTAATCTTTGACTGCAGAGAATACTCTAGATTGTAGTATAAGCAGAATTTAAGTTAATGAATTATTTAATAGTTTCAAGGGAAAAAAGGTATAACCTTTGTTTATCACACTGTGTATGCCAAATGTATTTCTTATTTTTTACAGGTTGCAATTCATCATTTAAGAACGGCTTGGATAAAAACTGAATTGAAATGTTGCTCAAAATGTAAAGGAGTAATATAAAATAAATTCCCCTAAATTTTCAAATCAGAACAACTCGTATATATAAATAGTCCCCCCCCCCCCCCCACTCCTTCATCAGCTTCAGGGAGCGTTCTGCAGTTTGCCAAGTCAAGTGAGATGAGGCCCGTTACATGTAGATTTAGGTGTAGGCAATTCAGTCACAGTGAGTGTTTATGCAAATACTTTTGAAGGATGTCAATGCTTCCTGGTTGTGTTGGGACTATGGCTGTATCTGAATGTCTGTCCTAACCCCTCAGTCACTAAAAAGAGCGGAGGCTATATAGTGGAGTTTATAGTTTACGCAGTTAACAGATTATTCCGACAGATGATCACTAATTTTCGTAGCCGTAGGCCACAGCGGGCCACTATGACAACAAAATCCAATTATGCTTTATGGGATATATACACTATATTGCCAAAAGTATTTGCTCACCCATCCAAATTATTGGAATCAGGTGTTCCAATCACTTCCATGGCCACAGGTGTATAAATTCAAGCACCTAGGCATGCAGACTGTTTTTACAAACATTTGTGAAAGAATGGGTCGCTCTCAGGAGCTCAGTGAATTCCAGCGTGGAACTGTGATAGGATGCCACCTGTGCAACAAATCCAGTCGTGAAATTTCCTCGCTCCTAAATATTCCACAGTCAACTGTCAGCTGTATTATAAGAAAATGGAAGTGTTTGGGAACGACAGCAACTCAGCCACGAAGAGGTAGGCCACGTAAACTGACGGAGCGGGGTCAGCGGATGCTGACGCGCATAGTGCGAAGAGGTCGCCAACTTTCTGCAGAGTCAATCACTACAGACCTCCAAACTTCATGTGGCCTTCAGATTAGCTCAAGAACAGTGCGCAGAGAGCTTCATGGAATGGGTTTCCATGGTCGAGCAGCTGCATCCAAGCCATACATCACCAAGTGCAATGCAAAGCGTCGGATGCGGTGGTGTAAAGCACGCCGCCACTGGACTCTAGAGCAGTGGAGACGCATTCTCTGGAGTGACGAATCGCGCTTCTCCATCTGGCAATCTGATGGACGGGTCTGGGTTTGGCGGTTGCCAGGAGAACGGTACTTGTCTGACTGCATTGTGCCAAGTGTAAAGTTTGGTGGAGGGGGGATTATGGTGTGAGGTTGTTTTTCAGGAGCTGGGCTTGGCCCCTTAGTTCCAGTGAAAGGAACTCTGAATGCTTCAGCATACCAAGACATTTTGGACAATTCCATGCTCCCAACTTTGTGGGAACAGTTTGGAGCTGGCCCCTTCCTCTTCCAACATGACTGTGCACCAGTGCACAAAGCAAGGTCCATAAAGACATGGATGACAGAGTCTGGTGTGGATGAACTTGACTGGCCTGCACAGAGTCCTGACCTCAACCCGATAGAACACCTTTGGGATGAATTAGAGCGGAGACTGAGAGCCAGGCCTTCTCGTCCAACATCAGTGTGCGACCTCACAAATGCGCTTCTGGAAGAATGGTCAAAAATTCCCATAAACACACTCCTAAACCTTGTGGACAGCCTTCCCAGAAGAGTTGAAGCTGTTCTAGCTGCAAAGGGTGGACCGACGTCATATTGAACCCTATGGATTAGGAACGGGATGTCACTTAAGCTCATATGTGAGTCAAGGCAGGTGAGCAAATACTTTTGGCAATATAGTGTATCTGCTCGTCTAGTAACCATGGATGATCACTACTTTTCAAGGTGCATTGTGGGAAATTTTGAGTCCACTACTTTTTCATCTACTAGACATTCAGACACTTATCTAAAATGGCATAGACACTATATACAGCCCAATATAGTGATTAGGGCAGACTTTCGGACATAGCCTATTTCTTGCTAGCTTTCATGTTTGCAGGCTATTGCACTTTTGCTGGTTCGAAATCCGAAATGCTGTGCTTTGCTTTGCCATTCTTGGAATTGTTTTTCTTATGACTGACTTGGGACCACACTTCATCAAAGAAGTTTCACACTGTACCTCAAGGTTTGAATTGGGGAAAATTTGACTGAGACATTAGCCCCATTTACACTATGCTCTGAAAACCAATCAGTGCCAAGCTTGGATCAGTTAACCGTGCCGAGCTCAGTTCCTTACGACCATTTACACACCACGCTAGCACCATTCCTCACCTCCTAGCGATGATCTACGGTATTACTGCTCTCTAGAGGTAAACAAGCAAATCAAAATGGTGGTGGATAGTCAAGTTTGCAGATAGTCAGGCGAAGATGGCAGCCTTAGGTGAATTTACTTGACAGAGTCGGCTTTTGAGAAGTGGATGAAACAAACGATAGTCTAATCAGGGCCTACAGACGCAGGTATAATCAACAGATGTTGAGATTAATCACACTGCTAAGCAGAATCATCACTGGAAATCATGTGGCATGGCCCTACTGATAAAATAGTACCATGTTGGCATGATTTAGTTGTGTCTTGCATGGTCCTGTTCAGTTTTGCGTGCCATTTCCACCTAGTTACTTTGGTTACTGTGCTCAAACTGGTTTCAAAAGGATAGTGTAAATGGGGTTATTGTCAATGGAGAGAACTGATTGCTTACAGGGAATGTTCTTCTTGCTGGATAACAAATGAGAATGATTTGGATTAAATTTAAAGTACATTTCTTTGTTATTGCTCCTTTAAATTAACACTCCAATTTGCACAACAATAGTTATGTTAGAACTTGTACTGTGCAACACAATGAATCAACACAAACTATTTAGAAATGAGACCTTATAAATGCATGTGAATGTCAATTACGTGTAATCCTTTAAGGTGCTTGAAGTCATTCTCCTTGATCTCAGTGATCTTGTTGTTCTGCAGGTCCACCAAGGAGGCATCTTCTGGAATGTCTGCAGGTACTTCCCTCAGACCTGATGGAGAATTTCAAAAGAGAAACGGATAAAGAAGATGTCTTGTGTAGGGTTTTGAATAACTTTGACCTCAAAGGAATTTATTATCTATTTATGTGTATATAAATCAGTTTAAACACACAAATTGTCTTTTTTTAAACCATTTTTATTGGTTAGTGTGTTTGTGCATTCACAAGCACATGAGAATCTATCTTGCCTCGCTCCCGATTCAACTGTTTGAGAACCAGCCAAGCCTTTCACCTATAGAAGGATTAAGTTTTAAGAAATGGAATAGCTGTGAGGAAAGCAAAGACCACGCAAAAATAACATTTTATATTTGAAAGAACTACATGCAAGTGCAAATTGTGGTTTCTCATGACGCCTGTAGCTTAAGACATTTGCTTCCATAATTTTCTTTTCATCTGCCAAATCAGCTTGGAAAGTTGAATGTTGCTCAATGTCCCTTCTCATCCTGAACTGATTTGAAGAGAGCAGACCAGACTGATAATGTGAAGAGATAAACTCAGAGGGCTAAACATTATCAATTTGATTTGCCAGGCAACATAACATAACATAAGGGTAGAAAAGTAGAAGGATTTTTTAGGAATTTCTTCAAATCGTTCAGCTTGCATGTTAAACTGGTTCTACTGTATTTTGTGTCAGTTACCAATTCAAAGATTAAGCTTGGAGTTCCTCAAGGCTCCATTCTTGTGTTGCTTTTATTCACTATGCTGAAAGGAGCATTTAGATACTAAATGAATGTAAAATGTATAAAAGTTAAAACCATACAGAGTGTGCTAGAAACCCATGAACTCATAAAAAAGGAGTGCGTTTTTTATTTCTAGAGGATTACATTATTGTAATGGTGTCTTTAAATGTGCCTAGAAAACCATCCAAAATGAACAAAATTTAATACCAACATCGGAAAAGTAGCTCATTATAAAATACTTTAAATTACATATTGGCTGTCTGCAATGGAAGAGATTTAAAGTAGGGCTGGGCTATATGTCGAATATACTCAATGTATCTCAAGTTTTCCTCTGTGCAATGGCTGTGCAATTACTTTATTGTACACATTTTTATAGCAGGTTTGATTTATTCACTCATTGAATTTAATTTACTGTGAGTTTAGTTTCTGCCACATGCTATAAATGCATCACACGCTCCTCCTCCAAACCAGAAAGTGGACCCAGGACCCAGGTGAGCTGGTTCCGAAGAGAAAACAGCCCTGGATCAATAATATGGCAGTGGTTTGGATTTCACAAGAAGGATGTCGAACAAAATGGGGTAATTTGCAAAACTGCCGAAAAACTATTGCCCCAAAAAGCAGCAGTACCATAAATTTATTCCACCACCTAAAATCATCCAGTGCAAAATGAAGAGTGTTGTAAAAGTGCACAAAAGAGCTCCTTTTTATTTCAGGTTTATTTTGTGTCAGATTTTTCCTTGGTGTTCCTTTTGGCCACTAAAAGCTCTAATGTTGCAATATTGCAATTTGTGAAAAACTTCTATGTGTAGCTGATGGTTAAAAAGTGGTTAAAGTAAAACATTTCAAATTAATTTTGAATTGGGAATACATTTAAAAAAAAAACTGACATGTTGATTGGACATATACCAATGCAACTTTAGGCACGAAGTGACCAATAAATGTGTTTTTCAATGTTATTTGATCATATCACGATATATATCGTGTATCATGATATAGCTCAAAGATATCGCCCACCCCTAATTTCAAGGTCTTGATATGGCTATAAATCGCTAAACGTTCATGGGATTAATGACATAATAACGTTTTCATCTAGACCACTTGGGTTTAAAGGACTGGAGGAATCAGTTTTGTTTCAAAGCTTTCAATCAGATTTGGTACCAACTCCCCCAAAAACTGAGGTGTTTTCTAATGATTTTTTCTTTATCTTTTAAATAACCCTGTGTGTGAGTAGTTCTATTCAAACATGTACCTTGACTTGACTCTTAAGCTTTCTCAATTTCAGCTTATTCTCTCATGAATATTTACCTCAGAGAAAGAAATACTGGGGGTGTTTCTTTTAGTCTGTTAAGTTTTCATAACAGTGGCTTTCCAGAGTGACTAAATAACTATTTTTTTTGTGCTTGGAGGCACATATGGTGGAAATTGACCATAAAACAAATTTCCTTCAGAGTAAATAAGGACCTGCATATCTGTAAAGAAAAGTCACACAAAACTGTTATACTTGGCATTCAGTGACAGAAAATCACATCTGTTTTTAAAGTCTTAAAATCTGGTGGAAGGAACTGTTTTTGAAACCTTGACCAAGACAGGAGATGTGTCTCAGTGCGTTCAAAACATATTTTTAAAGTGGGGAGTTTATTTTTCCAGAGAAGTGTCATATAATAAACTGTTTAACAATGAACAACTCACTTTGTATCTCTGGTCTACCTTACTTTGGCTTAAAAAACGTGTGATGACTACAGACAGACATTGCTTCCAAATAGTTTCCCCCCCCCCCGTCAGCTTTCTCAGTTTGACAGCGAATGATCCAGAACCCATCACAGCTGTTTGTGGTCAGTGCTGTCATCACAGTACTGTTTCATATTTTACCTCTGTGCTCGCAAGCCTTTGTTCTTCCAGAAAAACACACTTCAGCATTCTTCATACATTCACATCACTATGAAAATACACTATAGTACTCCCTGTGCTATTTTCTTTGTTCATTATTTTAGAAATATAATTTTTTTCCCATTTGATTTTTTTTCTTTGTGATTAGGCTAAACACGTTGATCACCATTAAAGTTTCTGAAAGAATGTTTGGATTTTTAATGCATGCATCAATTTCTTGAAATTTATTTACAGATTCATAGTGATCAAACAGTGACACTATTAATTTTGAATGTTTTCTTGTCTACCTCTAATATATTGTAGCAAAACATCTTGTCCCGGTTTTTAGCGATAGTTGAAAAGAGCACTGATATGTATCCATCAATAAGTCAAGAGCCAGGAAGTCATTTCTAAGGCTTTTGTTCTTCAGCAAATTACAGTGAGAGTCATTATTAACAAACTGAGAAAAATAGAAAAATAATAAACTGCCCAATAAGTGCAAAACCTACAAAAATTACTGCAAGAGCATATTAATGAATCATCTAAGGTCACAAGAAATCTAGAATCTTAAGCACAGTAGAGTGTTCCACAATAATAAAGAGATTGATCAAAATGACATCCACTGGATGGGTTTAAACACCTTCCAACCAAAACAAGTAAATAAAGAAAATATTATGTGGTTTATTATGTGGTGAGAAACACCAAGTTAATTCTGCTCTAATCCAAAGACTAGGGAACAACGTCTAGCTGTCAGTTTTTATACATTAAACACCAGCGCTCTTGGAGTTTTACCATGGTCCATTGAGCTAAAGAACAGCAGCACATCTATGCCTGCATGGCTAAAATGCAAAGTGAAGATCTTTGAAGCAGTCTAATCTGTCTGTTCTTAATAGATTGATTGATTGAGACTGAATTAAAGAAACGCTGTATAGAGGTATAGGTTTTAGGTTTTTGAGGCAAGTATTTCTCTCACTTGGCCAAGTCAGATGGGATAGTTTATTTTCTTTGAAAAAGGAAATCATAATTTTCACTTTGTTTCTGCTTGGATTAGATTTTTATGATGTAAAAAATGTGTTTGGGGATCTCTTTTTTTAGGGGTTATTGGATGTTTTGGCTAAATATTAAACTAACCTAAAAGATTCAAAGATATATACAACTTAGAATTTTTTTACTAAGACTAGGTGATTCAGTGTCTGAACATTTGCAATTTTTGTTTGAATATTTCTCTTAGACTTAATCACACTACCCACATGACCTTAACCTTTAGTATTAAAATGATGAGCAGAGCGAAGTCGTCTATATGGCCTGAGCTGGTGTGAGTTTGTGCAGTGATTTTTATTCCTTCATGTTTCAGTCTGGAAATGTGTTTGTGTTGATGCCAAGAGAAGCAGATGGGGGTTCAGGGACAGCAATGCTTGTGTAGTTATGTACAATCCAGGCAATTAAAGTGATGTCTTTGGGGGATCAAGCCAAATATATGTGACCGTTATTGACATAAGCTGTCTTTAGCTCGAAGATTTGACATGTATGCTCTTATGAATGTAAATTTAGTTATCTTATTATTTTCATTCTGTTTGATCCCGTGAATCCAAAACATCTCCTGTCTGTATCCTTCTGTTTTATTTCATCCTCACAGAAACGCCTCTGGGCTCACCTCCCTTCTTTTTTATCTGCTCTCTTGAAGAATGCCCCTCCCTTTTCAAACAACGTAAGAGCCAAAAAAGATATCTAATCTTACTGCTTGGCTTATCCTTTTTATGTTACAAGCAAGAAGAGACTGCAGTTTCTCAGACAGTATTTGCAGATATTACTCAAACTGTTGTATATTCTATACATCAGATTAAACTAACATAGCAGATGAGTTTCAAACACTAAAGACACAATTTGAAAAAAGTGTTTATGTTGAAGTTTAAAAAAGTGCACAAAGTAATTGTAAAGTAAGCTTTACACTGAGAAACTCATCTTTAAGGGGTTGTTCAGGACTTTCCAAACTGGAGAGAAGCTTTAATCTTCCCCAGAAAACAAATTTCCCAGAAAGAGCAGATCATGCATTTGTTACAGGAAGTGAAGCAAGACTCTGAGCATCTGTAAGTGATTAACATATCAACACATGGCCTCATGTCCTCTAGAGAGGTTTGCAGTAATGTGTAATACAATACGCCCCTTAAATGACCGAGCAAGGTTTGGGTGGGTGGGTGGGTTTGTGACTTATATGGCTTTTAAAACATGAATTTAACTCAGTCACATTTCAGTAAAACAACTGCAGCTGTCTGTCTGACCCCAGGACCTGGTTCATTAAGATTGAAATCCAAGACGGTTGGAGAAAATTAAAATGAGAACTCTTAAAAAATCTTCACAGATTTAAAGAATAAAATGCAGACTTTTTCCAAGATGTCTTTATATCCTGAAGTTTTTCACCCTGGAATTAAAAGCAGCTTCCCCATCAATATGTCGGTTGATAGCTGATAAATGTCTTCACTCTGGATGATTGTAGGAGTGTGTGTGGCAAATTCTGATTTCATTGGATTACATGAATTAACCCTCGCTGTTTTGACAGTACAGTGGTGGCACATAATAGTCTGAAATTACAAGTTTGCACGGTAAACCTATCCCATTTGAAAGTCATTACACAACTTTGTTGTGGACATAATAAACATATTTCCTCCCAAACAACAGAGGTAGGTTTTTTTTTTTATGTCTGTGGTTTTTGATTTTAGTTAGAATCGAAAGAAAAAAGACATCCGTAGGGGTTCGCGTTTCTTAAAACTATAGTGGAGGATTTTCACGAATTTTTGAAAAAAACCTTCGCTTTCCACTTTAAAAAAAAATGCACATGCACAACCCTGTACCCGCTCCTGAGGGGAATGCCTATTAAATACGTGTGAGAGCATGCATGAGCCCATTTCTGCTCATGCATGTTCTATTTAAAAGTTGCTGTTTGCATCGCTTATACAAGCTTTCTTTCCAAGAGAAGGTTTGAAGTTTTCAGTTTAGAGTTCAGTTCAACTTAACCTCTTTACTTAAGTAAAAGTGAAAAAGTATGTGCTCCAAAAACTACTTAAAGTAAAAAAGTATTAAGTAAGCTTAAAAAAAAAACAGTCAAATGCCACTATATGAATTGAAAGCTAAATTTTTCGACTATTCTGAAAAATACTTTTAGATAGGGCCAAGGATGAGGGAGGTCTTGTTGGTCTCCGTCTCCATCTCCCGATACGCTCTCGCCTGTGTCCGACCTTTCAGACATTTCAACATCTTTTTCTGAATCCGACATTGTAGCATGGCATGGATAATTCACTTTTACAGTTTGAAGAACACCTGCTTGCTTCTGATGATTTCCTTTAGATAGCCAATGAGTGTTTGCGTTTTATGACTCATCCAATTAAACTAGTTTTCACTAGATGTGGATGGAGCCAATGATCTGCATTGGATGGCGTGAAATATATATTTATCAACATTAAGCCGAAGCCAAGAGTAACGAGTAACATTTGTTTTAAAGATGTAAGGAATATAAAGTGTAACGAGTAGAAGTCAGAAGTAGGATTAAAAATAACTACTGGAGTAAAGTATAGATACCTGAAAAGTGTACTTAAGTACTGTAACAAAGTATTTGTACTTTGTACTGACACCTCTGCAATTTGATGATATTATTGATCCAGAAATGGTCATGCAATTTGAACAATTTACATATCTGAGAATTACACTGTAATATTTAGACGTGGCTTTTATTACATTTTATTACTTACTTTGAGCTTAAAACACTGTAAAAGTTTACTCTTTAAGATTTTGTTTTTGTTAAGGTTAATTTCCTGGTAACCAGGTGAAGGATTGCAACATTTTCTTCACCTCAGATATTATGATGCCGCATAATATGCCACAGTGCAGGCTGGATTGACTGTGAGAGGTGTAATTTTGTGTGAACATCATGCAAAACTGTTTCTGTTTTATGCAAGCCATCATTTGGAGGTGTGCTGTTTTACCAAGGTCAGAGCACTGGACCACACGTAGATGACACTGGCATCTGAATGGGCACTTTGGTCCTACAGGATCGCTACGGGGGGTTTCCCCAACTGGTATCACGCCTGATCCAGCATCATCCTCCATCATGAAGTCTAGGAATCCGGTTTGATGGAAGGGCAGAGCCCAGCAAGCAGTGATCAGGAGCAAAAAGAGACAGGCGGTCCTCATGGTGCTGCTTACAGAGAGCCTATAACAACACAAGAAAAATGATTAGTTACAAAACAAATCTGCTATTTGAATAAATGTTTCGTTTTATATTTTTTGCTGCAGTGATATTCAGAAAATTAAAATTTCAGAAGATTAATGTTGAGGGTTTTAGAATTAAAGTTTTGTCAAATGTTGGTTTGTTTTTGGTAAAAGGTGAAAGGTCATTCTCAGTTTGATTTGCCTTATTACTCTACATAATAACTAACCTGATTGTATTATACATGCAAGTCAGAAACAGGAGGCATTTGTTAGTTTTGATTGTGCAACTAGTAGCATTAACACTCTTTGTACTGCGTTTCCCCCGTCCTATGGATTATAAAATCCCTGCTTTACTAAACCTTCAAAATAAAGCAGCACAATTGAATTTTAGGTGCCAAGTCTATTTTCACTGATATAATGATTTACCATTCATCACAAAAAATAAATGCCTCAGTTTCCCCATTATAGAAATATTGCATTTATTAACCTGCTCAGTGTCTTTTGACAGGATAGTTTTTTATTCAGATTGAGGCAGTTTTTCTTCTTATGTAGATAAAATTGGGTGTTTTCCTCCTCGTATTTTTCTAACAATACTTCTTCCTCCTCTGAATAATAGTTTTTTTGCTGGTCATTTGAAATAATATTTTTCTAGAACCTATTTAAACATTCTTTCCCTGCTACAGCAGAGAGGATTTGATGTATCATCTGCAGCATCTTTAAAGAATAGCAGTACTGTTATATTTTAATCATGTGAACCTGTACTTTCCTGCTCTTTTGGCTCTTTGTAGGATGGGAAACTACACATCCTGAGATTCCTTACGCTTCTGCATTTGTTAGAGAAACATTGGTGTAGGATGCAGGAGTTTGTCTTACAAATGAAGGTCCACCAGTAAATGGCTTTGGCATCCCCTGACTTGAAAACTTACTACATAGGTAGAAGCCATGTGCCACCTATAGATACCATTTATCTACTTATAGTGCCATCTGCTTGGCTTTTATACTGTATTGTACAGTATAAAAGCCAGGTAATTGTACAGGCAATGTATTCTGCTGGCGAAGATCGTATGTCTTGTAATTTATTTTTTGGCTTTTCATAAATCTGTACAGAATTGAAACATTTTCACATAATAGTAGTGCATTGGTGACTGTCTGTTAAAAAATATGTGAGTATAAATGTAACATCTTCACTTTTTTGTCATGTTGCAGTAAATCGTGAAAAATATAATCAAATTTTGAGTTGTAAAAATAAGATTTAGGTAGTTTTTTTCTGCCTTTAAGCTCTGTTTTAGGTCATTATGACCCGAATACAAAAGAAAAAGAATGCACAAAAGGATTTTCAACTTTAACTACAGAACGCTGAGCTAAAATGCCGGTCTAATTTGTTATTGGGTCTTGTTCATGTGAAATGACATGGACAATGTGTCCTTTTGGCTGCTCTCATATTCAAGAACCATCACAGCAAGTCCTTACAACTTGCTCACATGGAGGGCAGAGTTTTTACACCATATGCCATTCCAGACACAATGAGGGTTTAAACCCAGGTGCCCCTTAAACCTTAAACCACTTCAGCATTAGGGACTGCAACTAAAATGACAGTGTACGTGTCAGTATGCATTTATTTAACAACATACTGTAGAAAAATATGGTTTAGAGATAGCTAGACTTAAGTATTCTCATTCAAGGTTTAATATAGTCAGAGAAAATAAACTAGATCACTTTTTTATTTTTTTTTCTAAAGGTATCTTTCCTAAAAAACACCATAAAGACAACAAAAAACAAAACACACAAAAAGCCTATATTGCCTCCATTGTATAGGAAGCAAATTGTCAGTGTGGCATTGGCCAGCATAAAACTTTCATGGAATGAAACACTTAAATGGTTTTGTGCTGGAAAAGCCTTTTTTTCTTTCTTTTTTTAATTTTTAACAAAAATAAGTTTCATATTTTAAAGCAGGCATCCCCAAAGTCGGTCCTGCAGATTTTAGAGGTGTCCCTGCTCCAGCACCGCTGATTTACATTGATAGTTGATTAATAGGCTTTTGTTGAACTGCAATCATCAGAATCAGCTGTGCTAAAGCAGAGAAACCTCTAAAACCTGCAGGACAGCGGCCCTCGTGGACAGACTTTGGGGATGCCTGCTTTAAAGGTAAAGTGGATGATCTTCAGGCTTTGAGTTCTTGGGGATCATATTATCTATTGGTTATCCCAGACACCAACCTAACGCCGTTATGTGCTCGCATTCCTTGCGAGTTTAACGTGTGCTGCGCATGCAAACGTCTATTATTTATGCATGCAGTTAGCCCCGGCTTGAGCCAGTCATTGAAGCTCCACCGCTCTCACTGTTTACTTTTAAAATGTACTTCTCTTTGATTGCAGTTGGTTCATTAGTTTGGATGTATGCTTGGTTAGCTAGCCTGTATTCAGCTTCTTCACACTTATGCTGCTCATAAACAACAGTTAAAAGTAGGGTTGTTTCTTTAGTTCCCCCAACATAGCAACTGTGTTTTTAATGGCAGGAAATATCTCAAACTTAGTTTTTCTTTTAACCAGCTGACCGGCAGTGCCACCCAGCTGGTGGGGTATGGTGGCAAAAGATCATTACATTTAATGCAGAAACAGTATGATGGGAATTTTTAGATGATTTAAAATCATAGCTGTTTAAAACAAATTGTATAAATTCATGTCTTATCAACCATTGCTTATTCTCTCAAGATTCAACAAGTACACCTTATATGGGTCTCATATTGTAAAACATTTTCGTTGTAATTTATACAACAGACTTATTAACAGCTCCTCAAAACAATAAGTTATCTTAATAGCTTCCTTACACCAGATGTTTGAAGGATTTAATAAATTGTAAAAACACCTAAAAGCAGCAAAAACTCAAAGACCTAGCTGTAAAGGAAAGAGTTATTTCCAAGATGTACTAGAAAGACTGAATATACTGTTTTTGTAAAGGAAGATCATCATTAAGTCATTAATTCATTTTGATGTTGGTACTTTCTAATGCTTTGCATGTTTTACTGACATCACCAAAGCATTGATGCTCAAAGGATAAACCCCATGGACACTTGTTTATTCCACTAAACTATAAATCTATCCGATTTCTAGACTAAGCATCCTTCTGACTCTACCAATAACAGTTAAACATTTACTGAACTTAACTGACTCATTAAAAAAACCCAAATATATAATTTATGTGATTTGTTTTTTTTTTTACTAAACATCTTTGTACAGTAAGGCCCAACACTGATAACAGAACTAACTGCTGCTGCAACATCTGCATTAACTTTTACAGGGATACACAGGGGATGTATTGCAGGAAATTGCATGGCTGCAACTGTATACCACTCTTCCACGTTTTCTCATCCAGTAATAAATCAAAGATTGTTTCTCTGCCAAGCATTTTATATTAGTAGTGTGTGTCAAATGCATCAGCGAACATCAATTTACTGTGGAAGTAGAAGGCAATGGTAAATTCATACTTTCTTGTCTATTTCTAAACTCCACCACAACTAAGATGACACATGCAAACGTTGTATTAAAGTCATACACACGGCAGACACACAATGTCTCAACTTTTTTCAGCAGCTACACACACCCACGTAGAGTAGATCCTATTTCTTTCACACAGTACAAAAAACAAAAAAAAAAGGAATAAAGAAAATGCTAGTTAGAAGCTGAAAGCACTTGCATGCAAAGCGGTGCCACAATAATTGAAGGGCGGATTTGAGCCACTGCTGCAGTGGACCTTGACCCAGACATGATCGGGAAGAGGAAACCTGCCCAAGACCAGCATTTGGTCATGGCCTAAAAGAAACTCTCAGTCAATTCAAATGATCTGTGAGAATAATGTTCCTTTGAGCTTTTCTGTCTTGCGAGTGCATGCTATTTTGTTAAAATACTTAATATATCTAATGTTCTTTGAGAGATTTTTAAGCTTTAAAATATCATGTGTTTGCTTTGTGTCAATATTAAAGGTTTTTGTGTTGATGACCTAAGCATATAATATGAGGTTTCTGTTCATGTTTGATAAACTAATCAGCATCAGCAATTTCATTATAGAGTTCTTCTTCTTCGACTTATCATCAGCTCTTATTTGCAGAATTGTTTGAATGTAGTTATATCGTTTGGTTTTTCAAACTGAAATATGACAGCCACTCTATTAGATTTAAGTTTAGACTTTGACTAGGTCACTCCAAAACCTAAACTCTGTTTGAATTGTCATAGTTAGTGTGTCAGGTGATCCTGAGGTATCTCTATAGTTATGCTGTTATAGATTTATACTGCTGGAGAACATAGGGACTACTTTTAATCATTCTGCTTTATTCTATCTCTATTCTCCCAACTAGGTTTTTCTTGCTTAAGCTCAATAGCACTGGGTCTTTAGCGTTATAAGGGGTTTAACTACAGCTGTGGACCAATTATACATTGAAATCACCCACACTTCTCCTGTTTGTCCTAAATAATTTTCTTCTGTTTCTCCTTAGTTGTACTACTACTATGGAAACCTCAAAATTGAGATTAACTTTATAACCCCTCCCTATGGAGATGGTTACTTTTAAGCTCCTAGTAACGTTTATTTAATGCCTTTCTTTCTTTATACATGAGTTTAAAAAACTGTGAGATGGAAAACACTGACAGTCGTTAATGCAGGTTAGGGTTACGTCAGGTCATGCATTGGAATCAGAGCTGAGAAAGGCTCTACTCCAACAGTAATTATAGTTTCTCTTCACAAAAGCCAGTACTTTATCAAACTGTATAGCTTCAGTTTGTGGAAGTTTGGAGTCACTTCCATTTCAGTGTCTTTGTCTCCTGTTTTGGGTGTATGCATGTGAAAAAAGAGGTTAAAGCTGTTAAAAACGACTTTCATTCGCATGAATCTGGAATTATGTGTCATGCTTTAATTGAGGAGAAAGTTTTCCAAGCAATTGGAAACATGGCATACTCCCGTTCCAAAGCAAGGACTTTTTTACAGTCGTA